ACCCATTAGTAACCCCTGTAGTATTTAATGGAAATGATATTTTATAAATCCATCTTCAAATTCTACAACTTATTCATTTGCACTGTCCTCCAAAATTGTAATGTATTTGTAGTTCAGAAATGGTACAGATGAAAGAAGAAAAAGACCTCAATCATTATTAAATAGCAGCAATTCAAATAATAATTTGGTGCATGAGATTAACCAAAAGATGTGAGCCATTTTGGGGGGGAGGTTGGGGGAAAGGCGGCAGGGAAGAGAGGGTCATCAAAATCCTGGCTTATTGGACAAAATCATTGAACTTTTTGCTACAGCCTTTATTCAGTCTCATTCAGGAGATATTACAGTGCACTGCAGAGCCAAAACTTAAGTCAATGGGAATTGCCTGTATGTTTCTGAGGGTAGAATTCGGGCCTTCACTGTTCCAACCTTGGTATCGTGATCATTCCTAATCACTGAGGAGGGATCTGGTAGATGTCAAGTGAAGAGAAGAATAGAACATGCATCCTTCACCACTCAAGCCAGACAATGAAAGAATATGGTGATGTGAGAGAATTTGCCTTGATTCCTAGGGGGAAATAAAACAGGAATTTGATTTAAAAAATAAAGAAACTAGAAAAACATTACCAAAAATTCTCATCACAGATTGTCCACTAATAAAATATGGCATTACAAAGCTGTTATGTTAGCTTTTCTTGTTGCATCTTTCCATCACTTACTCTTCATTTTGAATGTATGTGATGCTTGCAGCACTAAAGAATCTTAAAGTAAGACTTTTTTCCAGGAGTCATTATTGTATCTATAGGATAAAAAGCTATAGCCATAATTATGTGTTACAAATAATACATTCTGCTAGATAGTTAACCAGGTGAGGTTAAACAAAATAAGATGAATTCTGGGCTTTTTAGAATACTGACAGTCTTCATTTTAAGCTACAACGTAGAGTGCTTTATCCTGAGATTAGGTATTGTGGCAGAAGCTAAAACTGCCTTTTTCTCTTAACTGTGCCAGAATACAACCTCCTTTTCTTTTTGCGCTAACAAGACTGCTTTACCACCACAGCCCACTCTAAGTAATTAAATCAATCCTTTGTACTTACCGTATTCTCCTCTAGTGACGGTACTAGATCTGATTATATGCTTCATGCATATTCAAAGTACGGCACTGACAGCTCTTTAATGAGCTCTTACTTAATCAGTATGAACAATGTTCATCTTGTTCTTTTTTTCCTCATACATTAGAGCTAGGAACAGTTGGGGAAAAAATGAAACATCCAGCATTCATTTGAAAAATATATTGTACTTTGAAAAGTGTCTAAGCTGGGGAAGTTGCATTCTGCCCTTTAAAAGTCTGATGGACAAATTGGATTACTAGTATTGGATTAAATAACAAATGGTTAGAGGAGAAATGAGAAAAGCTCGCTGTGATCACAGGCTTTAATATTTTTTGTTACTTATAAAGCTGAAGGGGTCTTTAACCAGTTATTAAAGTCAGGATTAATTTGTAATGGTCCAACTTACTAGCATTAAAAGGGTTTGGATTTTTTTTCTTAAAAAAAAAATTAAAACAATGGTGTAATGCATGTATTATAGAAAAAAAAACAATTTTAAGTTGAAGATCTGTGGGCTATTTATAGATTTCCATCATCTTGTACTGGCTCAGATAAGGGGTTTGCACACACAGTATCGATTTGTTCTCGAACATGTTTTTCACTTCATTTAAATAATCTGTGTTGTATTGTTTCTCCAGAGAGCAAAGCAGATATTTTCACATTTTGAATTTTTAAACATTTGTACTTGAATGATTTCAATAATCATTTAAACTTGGAAAATAAACACATAGCAGTTGAACAGTTTTACTAAGTGGAAGTGTGAAATTAGTTGTGGATAAGGAAAATCCCTGTTTTTGTTTAGAAATAGTAAGTATCAATTTAACTTTCAAATATCACTGCTGTATCAGCATTCAATCTTCTTCATTGAAAGTGTTTTATATGCACTCTCCATTGAAGAAAATAGTGCTAAATTGAGTAAACTAGCTAATAGTACTATGTTGCTTGAGAGTAGCAATTTTAAAATTATTTATGTTGTCATGTATCTTACCTTGCTCGTATATGAAGTATCTATTTAAGTTGTATGTACAAGAATTTAAAAGCCCTTGGTCAAAAAAATAAGATACCACAATCTACTGCTATTAATATTGCACACATGTGTCATTTCACTGATCAAAAAGACCTTCACTGGGGTACAATTGGCCTTTTTCCAAATTGCAAGCTTTTTCTCAGCTTTTTCTTTTTACTCTTTCTTCTTTTGTTGCTGCCCTGGGATTTGTGCCTATCGCAGCCGATATCACATGACCAGTGTCAGGGCATCACATGGTCCAAAATGAATACAAAAACAGCGGCCCTAAAAGACAGATTAAAAATACTGTAAAACAGTAAAGACTTTGTTGACTCACTTTAAAAAAAAAAAACCTATTCTGGGAATACTTCATACACTGAAATGTAAGCATAAAAATATTGAAGATGTGCAATCTCTTTTTGTTAGGCTCCAAATTGACAAATACAGCTTTTCCATAGATTTATTTGAATAGATGCTGTAGCTCACTTCACTGTACTTTTAGAAGGAGAAAATCCACATTAGTACAAAGAAGCAGCATCTTAAATTATGATCTCACCCTAGGATGTTTGTCATGATAGAAACTAAGGGCCCAATCCTCGGGTGGTCTAAATTGGTGAAGTGAATGTTTCTATGTCCCCATTTTCTGTTTGTTGAAAATGGTTTGCAGACTCATCCATTAGAATGCTATTGTGGTGTAATGTATTTGTAATAGCATCTTTTATCCAAAGATCCCAGAGTCCTTTATAAACAATGAATTAATCAATTAAATGTTGTCATCTGTGTAATTAGTTATGAGAATTTTTTTACCTGCACGATAAAGGGGGAATCAAATCTCTTGCTGGTGCACACAAATTGATCGTTTGTAGGGATAAGAAAGTAATCCCCCAAACTCCTGCCCCCCATAAAAAGAAAGTCAGCTGACTCAGTGCAGTTCAGGGGAAGGTTGTCTTCTTCTAGAATACTGAGTGCAGTCTAAGTCTTGCAACAGGAACCCCCACTAGCTGGGCCAATGCAGCAACAACTCTGATCTCTAATTTGTTATGAAAAACATCCAAATTGTCTCAAAACTCTTTGGAGGGAATTCTGAGCCATAAAACAGTATTGTAAATGCAGTACAGCCATGGCGTCATGCTACCCTGCAGAAAAACCCAGGAGAGGAGGTTTTGAGGGAGGAAATCTCTACAAGACAAAGTTACTCCCCTTTTGTTCCCACGGACTGGCACTTCCCCCTCTATGCTAAGAAAAAACTGCTGGGCCATCCCACCATAGGGATCCATGGGAGGTAGGGAACGTGCCTGCAGAAGCACTAGCTCTGTCATGCCCTTCCTCCCCCTGCAAAGCCTGAACCCTATCAGCATGACTCCAGTGGAGCAGCATTAACAAGGAACTACTTTAAGTCACAGGGAGGTACCCAGAGAAAAAGATAATAGAGCCCAGTCTGTATTACCTTTGCTGTCTAAACAACATGGAGCCATAGGGCACCAATGTGTGTCCCCATCAGCTCGGTCCCTGATTTGTCCATTCTTCTCCCTGTGTGGATTCCAGATCCATTGGGCTGCATGGGGAAAAGGCAAACAGTGCCATGGAGGCAGCTGGCCTTCCTTTCGATGCAGCAGGGGAATAGCCATGGGGAAAGGGCAGCTCCTTGCACAGATGTGGCTTCATGCATCTGCGTATTATTTGGGAATGTTTGTAAGACAGGCAGTGATGCTGAAGAATCAGCTGTGGTGCAAATGTTAACATCTAGAAATTGAGGGTTTCCTCTTAGAGCAAAAGCTCACCACGTTTTTTGGTACATTAGCAGCTTCTTATGTAAGCAAGCTTCTTCTCCTCAACTAGTGCCCCATTACTGGACATTAATATAATGATACCTTCCCCTTATCTATAGCATCTTTCCTCAGAGATTTTAAAGCACTTTACAAACATAATGAATTAATCCTCAACATTCATATGAGTTAGGTGTTATCCTCATATTAAAAATGGGAACCTGTGAGATACAGGTCCACAGTCAGAGTGAATCAATGGCAGAGCTGGGAAAAAGACCCCCAAATTCCTGACTTTATTCTTTTACTGTAGCCACTGGGCAAAGCTTCTTCCCAAATTATGCATTTTTTAGGGTTAAAATTAATTAGATTTACATACTGGTAACATGTCTATAAAGACTTGTCTCTCCTTCCGTTTAATTTTGAGAAAGACAGGAGCTGATCACTTGCCACAAATGGAGGATATGTATATATGTGCAGATGTCATGATTCCAATACCTTAGGCAACTGAGTCCCAATTCAACTCCTGTTAAAATCAATGGAGAGATTCCCTTTGACTTCAGTGAGGACTGAATCAGGGCCCTGGTGAGGAGAAGCTATGTCCGTTATCTGGAATAGCCGCCTCAAGGGTAGGGAGGCTGGGCTGCAGTCCAGCACATTGGCCAAAGGCTGTGGACGGGATTTCACCTCCCGAGTACTCTGGGCATTCCACCCACATGGAGCCTGAATACTCTGGGTTTTTGTGAATGGAGTTAAATTTCACCCATCGTCATATTTTGTTTTGTTTGTCCACCTCTTTTATGATCATGTTATCTCTGTGGAAGTTTAACGGTAGAACACTTTTTCTTCCAAATGTACTTAGTGCTAATATGACCTGTGAGTACGTTAAGAGGCACTAAAATATATACGCTGAAGAATATCAGCTTTAAAAGATTGACTTGTGATAGTTCCACAGTATTAGGCTGCCGGTCTTGAAGTCTAATCTTATGTTATTGTTAACATTTGAAAAATTACCGTTTAATGCTCATTAACATCAGAGATCTCATGTTCCAAAAACTGATACTAAAGTTTGTTGTCCAGCTTGTGAAAAGTCTCATAAATAACAAATGTGCTTATATTATAGGAAGGTACACAGAAGAAGAAGAAGCTATGATGCAGGAATGGTTCATGTTGGTTAATAAGAAAAATGCCTTAATAAGAAGAATGAATCAGCTTTCTCTTCTGTAAGTATGGATGGCTGAGCTTGTTCCAAGAGCTTGGTTTATCAGTCTGTTCACTTAGAATATAGATGCTAAACCTTTTTGCTTTATTTCCATTAGACTTCAGAATGTTTCCTCAAAGATGCAAAGGACGTGTGATTTGTGTACATGTCAAGTCGTTTGTTTTTCTCATATTTCAGACATGAAAATGCAAAGCAGGCAATGATACAAGATTAGTGCGAGCTGTGAAAAAATATGAAATAGCAAGTGCATTTATATGTTCAAAGGCAAAAACAGTAGAATAAAATTACTTCCTGGAAATATGAATTGACTTGTACTTCAAATATAAAATACAAAGTTTATTTTCAGTGAAAACTTTACATTAAAGTTGATATTTGCTCTAGTCAGAAATATTAGATCATTCACTAGTTTAGCAATGTTGAAGTGTGGGGGGGAAAGCATATTAGTGAACCTCAGGTGAAACAATGTTATCACAGACAATGCAGAGCAAGATTTGTGTAATAAAGACATGTAAACCTTTTTCAGAAATGGGCAGGATTGGCACAGTTATTAGGAGCACAGAGGATGAGAGAAAGCATAAATACCATTCATTATTAGACTGGCATTTGGCCTGTTGAGGTCATCATTTCTTGTTTAGTTTTTCTCAGTTTACTGATGATTTTCTTTTAGTATGCCACCTAGTGTAGATGTATGCAATTTTCCTTTGTAATATAGTGAAATGAGTTGTATGTTCACGAATTTCTTTCCATGTCTGAACTTGAAAGAAGATTCCACCTCAAAATATTAAGCTCTCTAATCCTGTGTCTAATTTTCTGTATTCGTTAGGTCAGAATTTACATGGGATAATACTTTGTGTTCATACTATCTTGGTGAATTGTTTGAATCTGGAATTTGTTCTTTAGTTAGGAGAGAATATGTTATACTTAGGACATACCATAACAGCTGCTCCAAGGATGAATATTTATTAATTATGTACAATAGTACAAGAGAGTTAAACTAAATCCAGAAAAACAGACGTTACAGAAAATGAAAAAAGCATCATTACTGAATATTCTACCTGAGGACGGTTTTAAGTTTGTGTATCATTTGTTTGGAGTAGCTTAAAGTTGAAGAGAAAAGTCAGTTATGAGTCCTAAAATCAATGTAAGTTAAAGGTTCTTTTAAGTGTTTAATGATTTAGTAATTAACATATTGATGAACTTTTGCAACTTGCCTAGGGAAAAAGAACATGACCTAGAAAGGCGGTACGAACTGCTGAACCGAGAGTTAAGAGCAATGCTTGCTATCGAAGGTAAGCAATATTAACAAATGAAATTTACTTAACAGGAAGACCAATAAGAAGGCACACCTGAGAATGGAGTCAGCTATCACATAATTCAAAATTATAGTGTACAATAGATACTGTAGGTCTTTACTCATATCCATAAATTATATGCAAAGAAATTGTTTTAAGCATTGGATTCAGAAAGCAAGATCAGAAACAGGTCTTACTAAAATATATTTGAAAAAGCATTGAGGGGGAAAAAAGCACAATGTATTTTTACATTTTATTTATTGTTTTTGTTACAGCAAAGTAATCTTAGTTTTGATACAGTGATGTTGCTTATCATAAAGGGATTTTTCACATACATGAGATTACTTATTTCTACATTTTAAATATTTTTATAGCAATATTTCCATTGGGAAAAAAAAAATCTCTTCAGTCTTCATGATAACATATTATACACGTGTCAAGTAAATATTTCCTCACCCACAACGTCAGGGTTAGTGCAATCCATTGCATAATATTTTCTTCATTCTCTGTAGCTCTCTAGAGTCTAGTCACCTTACCTGAATGAAAACTCATGGAAAGATTGACATGGGGATAAATGAAACAATTTCATACTTTCCATAATGCTTTTAAATGAATTGTACGGTAATCCTAAAGAGGATTCATAATAAAAATAAATATCCAGATAGCTTAAACTATTGCTTACATTATATTGTTATTTAAATATCTTAAGTGTTTTATAATGCTGCTCTACTTATACCTCTCAGTCACAAATGCTGTCTTGTAGTTCAAAGATGTTTGCTTAAAAGTTAATCCTTTGGGCTCTGTAAAATGGACCTTTTGTCTAATCAATGCAAATTGATTTTGCTATTCTATATTGACCTCTTAGCCCTTTGACTGTCCATGGTAATTTCTTTCTTCACCTGATAAGGTACCTGATCCATAATAAATCAATTCTAATTAGTTTGGAGACTTCACTGGAAGCATAAGTTTGTAGGAGAAAGACATGGATTGTCAGGTAGCTTTTTCATATCTATCAGTCTGTTACTATATTCTTGGGTAAGATTCAGTTCACCATATGCTTGACTAAAACCTGAGCTTTACACTGAGGTAACAGTTAATTAGAAATTAAATATTTAAAACAGATTAAAATTCTTTTTAACAAAAAAAAATAAGTATTGGGCATAACTTGTACAGTAATGTCCCTTAATTATTTTTATTGTGGAGACTTCAGACCTAAGATCTTTGAGTACCTTACAAAATATGACAAATCACACATATACCTTGATAAAATAAAATTAAAAATAGCAAAAGGTGCCAGACATCAGAAAGATAAGATCTACTTGTTACGGTAATAATGATATTATATACAGGATTTTTCCAAGAAAAACAATGTTTGTTTACACTACTCTTGTTATGTTTTAAACTTTTGAATTGTATTAAGATTATTGTTCTCTTAGGAACTTTTTAAAGAAGGAGCTATCCAGATAAAATGATGATTGAGGCTAGAAGTATGTTACAAGATGCTGAAATATAGTTTTGAAAAATTGACTCTGGGTGTATATGTCGGTGCTTTCAAGCTTTTCATGTCTGATTTATGCTTGATTTCAAATATTAATTAAGATATTTTAAAAATAACACAAAACAGATATGTGTAGTAAGGTTGACTGTAGAAGAAATTAGAAATTTAAATAGGCTAAATGAGGAGTGTAAGGCAGTACGTATCAGAGAGGCTAATGAACAGTTGGTGCCATGTAAAAGATGTGAAAGGACAAATCTAACATATGTGTACAGATATTCCCACTCCAAAACATATGGACATGAAAAAATAGCAGGGTGGTTTCTGTTTGTGTGTTTGTTTATTTAAAGTGATTGTTAGTAGCAATGTTCTGATTCATACTGGTACTTTAAAAAACAAGTCTTTGAGAGGTGATAATTACTGTTTTGGTGAATTGCTCTAACTCTTCCACCCGTGACTCTGCTGTTTAAAAATCTATCAAACAATTTACTTAGCTAGTTGATGACAGGGAAAAAAGAGACTTGCAAAAGTTAGCAGCCTGCTGATTGTAGATAAAGGCAGTTTATTGGCCATCGGCCTGCCCTGCTAGTCTGAGCAGTGTGTGGGCAGTACTGTAGTTTAGAGGTGCTGACCGTTATAGTGTTCAGTGATGTGGAGACAGTGTCCTCTTAGCCAACTGTTCAAATGGATGCATATGCAGTTGAATAGCCTTTTGGAGTGTTAAAAGCACTTCACACAGAACACATGAATGGCCAACAGTGGTAAAAAGAGGAATACTTTTTTTTTCCCCATTTAGCAGCAGAGATAAGAAAGGGAGAGTAAAGTACTGGCTGCTTATAGCAACAAGCTATTCATATCATTACAAGTGAATTTGCTGCTGAAAATGCTCATCCCAAGAAGGGCCTGAAATAGTTCTAAAGAATCATAATACGCTGAAGGAAATATCCCTTACTTGGTTTGTTTTAGCATGGGCAAATGAGAACACACTGCATGTGTTTGTCTCATGTAAACAAGGTACGCCTTTCAGAGCTTGGATTTTTCTGCATCCATAGCTGAGTAGCAGGATACCTTAGACTTAAACACACTTCAGTTACCTTCCCTTTTTCCCCCCAGATTTAATGCCTCCTTGGAAAAGATAAGTTCATTTTTGCACACCTTGGGGTAGTGTGTTCATTTTCTGCCCAAGAAATGGATCTTCTTTAGGATTTTGTACATCTTGATTTATTCTTGGCTTATAGTTTGAAGTGGGTGCTCTTCTAAAAGGATTTATGCATAGGTTCACTATTTTTGTAGTTATGGTTTATATGATAAGCTTTTTATATTTAAAATCAATATGTAATCCTGTGGAGGAGCTTATCCCCTAAAACCCCATTTGTAAATCTATTTTAGCTTTGTTACACAGCACAGCCACAGTATTCCATAGATTGATTAGGTTCCGCAGTAGAATCCTATCAAATGGCCTGCTCTGATGATGATGCAAACTCTTTCAGAATTGCTAGTTGACTGGAACTAAAGATAAGACTTGACTGCAATCCCCCAATGTGCTCTTTACAAAACTAGTGTTAATTTTCATCAAAGTGCTAGGCTTATTTATTATAGTGGCAAGGTTGAAGGTTTTACTAGAAGAACTTTAGACCATTTCTATTACAGTGTTTCTATTGGAATAGTCTGCCTGTTTGCTCAAAGTAATTATCAGTTTAAGCAACTAAAACAAAGACAATATAAAGTCCATGTAGATGAATACTTGAAAACATTTGGATTTCATTCTGAATTTAACAAACTACGTAATTTGAAACTGCACATTGCAAGAGACTGCATGGGGTTTTTGGCTTTCAACACTTTTAGCTCATATACAGCATCAGAGCTTAATCCTATTTTTATCCAGAGTGTAGCTTTTATAACAGTATTATTCTGGAATCTTCACATTAATCACAGTCTATATTGTAGTTTCCCAAAGCTGTAGTCAGTGCTGGTAACTATATATAACAGGTGTTTTTTAAATATATTGATGTCTGTGTTCTCTCTGAAAGCCGGGGGAGGTATGTTAGGTCGGATATTTTGCTGTATAAAACAAGCTCCTAGTTTAATATTATATAAAATAAATATTGACCAAATACTCTGTCAAAAAACGCCTCCCTTCCTAACAAACTGCTATTTATTTGTCTTCACTTCTAAGAGGGAAATTAAGTTTTTCTCCTTTCTTAAGAAATGTATACAAGTTAATTAAGCTAACTCAACAAAGCAATTGTGTACTTGTGCTAATGAATCTTTGCATGGCATCTTCACAAACAGCACTACTATCTACTGTAATGACAACAAAAATCCGTGTCATTCTAGGTATGAGTGTCCCATAAGACATTATTTACCACACACCGCTGTGAGCTGTGTCTACTATATCAATAAGTAGGCATGTTACAGAGGAAAAAGTAGTTCATACCCAACCTCCAGTTCTAATATAATTCTAAAATATTTTGGCTTCTGTCTGCACACATAAGATGTTACAGAAAATTGCTTCTAACATTCAGAAAAATAAGAATGTTTTAAAAAACTGAAACTGCCAACTAAGACAAACCTGCAAAATATTAGATAACTCATACCCATGTAGAACTGGTGCTTTTCAGATCCTTCCTTAATTTATCTGGATCTTCAGGTGTCAAAATATTAGAGAAACCTTGAGATCAGCAAGATTGTAGTCAGAAGCACAGAGAAGTTAGGCTAGAAGTTGGACAAGGTTTGGAGGGCATGTGAACAGGCAGGAAATTCTGAACTACGTGTCTTTTTTTCCTTGTTTCTAGTCCTATCACTGACGTGGTATGACATATACTTGTGAGTCTGGTTTGTTTCAGTGAGTTGAAATCACTTAAGCTGGCACTTAATTTTTACATGTAATACCATGTGATTTCACAAAGAGCCTGTTCTCTAGAAGACGGGATTTTTTAACAAGTTGAACTGAAGCAGCCCGTCCTGCAACATGCCAAACTAGGAAAGGGCAAATATCAATGGAAATCAAAAGTGTATGTTCTACATTAGCAACTAAAAGGCAGCTTTTTGGGGCACCATGTTTGGGCTGGGCTGAAGGTGAGGATGATAAATTACAAGACAAATTGATTTGGTTACCACCTGGAAAATTAGCTTCCATAAGTATGAGTGATAAGAAACAGCCCATTTAAAAATAAGCAACGAGAACTGTCTACAGGCCTCCTGCCATGTCAATGTGTTGGAAGGGGACATAGTGTCACTATATCAAGTTCTTGCCCATTTATGAAACACTATTGTGTACCTTTGCTTATGTTGAATGTATATATACACGTGTCTGTTTGTATTTTCTGTGTGTGCATGTCAGTATATGCACGTACACCTATGTTGGTTTTATGGATACATGTCCACAGAGAATGATAAAAGTGGTTACACATTCTTGGCTTTTTGCTGCTGTTCTAACCTTTATTGCATGATGATGCATCTAATTTTTAATTTGTAAATACAAGACTGAATTCCCTCTAGCACCACTCGCTTTCATAAAGCTTCTGAGCAGTTTGCTGTCTTGAATAAATTTTGCTTTGGAGGGGGGTCAGGGGGATTTGAACCAGCACATTCTTGTGTGGTTTGTGAAGATTCACATGGTAACCATTGGTGTGCATTGTTAGGTTTATCTGAATAAGCACCAGCCATGTGAGTTTTAACATGATTGCCCAGGGCAATAGAGAGAGAAGAGAGAAATCCAAAAGGATTGCACACTCTCTTTCCTCTGTTTTTTGGAAAGTGCACAGAGGGGAGGACACTGCTTGAGTCGGTGGTTATGGACATTTTTAAGCTGGTGTCCTGTTTCCCTCCTGGTCCTCATTTGTTCTGCTATCTCCCACATCATCTAGTTCTCCTTCTTTTCATTGTTTACTTTCCTAATGAGGGAGGCGGGGTAGACTGGTGGTTTGATTGACAGCTACAAGCCCTTACAGTCTGGCTAGAGAGCAGTTGGCTTGGACTTCAGGCATGCTCCAATCTTAAATTTGCCTTCTTTTTATGAAATGCAGATACGGTTCTGTTAAAAGAGGGACAGAAACCAAGCAAGGGAAGCATATGGGGTCAAAAATGTTCCTTTGGACGACTCCTGGCTGTAAGCATGCGCAAGATTAGTGCAGTGGGAGAACGATTAGACATTATCCAATCTTGTGCAACAAAATAATTTCAAAATCAGATCTGTAATTGTTATTTAGCAAAGAGTCTTGGATTTAGCCATCATGCAAACAGTCAGACTGGTTACATTGCTATGGAGAGGGGTGCTATGTAATATTGTCTACCAAATGTATTTTTACTTCAGAGAAAAATGCTAATTAACTGACACCTACTTTTAAAGTTATTGTGAAGCATATGGTGCCCAGTGTGAGATACTTCCAACTGCTAAGATATACCAAGCAAGAAATTAGCAAAGAATAAGCTATTTGTGCAGAGATGGAGTTAAATTCTAGATTAGGAAAAGTTCTTATCATATTTTTTGGTTCTGTGAATTTTGCCAGTTTCAGAAACAAATGTGCCCCTCCCTCCACCCAATATATTCACAGAAAACAAGGCCAGAGCTAGAAAGATCTCTAGAATAAGATAAAAACAAACAATAAATGAAAAAAAAAGAAAATACAGATTATTCCATTTTGTTTCTGTTTTTTTTAAATTGCTATTTATAAACTGATTCCAGTCTGTCCAGGCCTCCGTTAAAAGTTCTGTGAGAGATTTAGAAATTAGGCATCTTGGAATAATATCGCCAAATCTAGTATAGACATTAGTTATTTATGTAGACATGTATACATTTATGGCAATGATTTACAAAATAATGCATGAAGTCAAATGCAGATCTTCAATAACTTGATATTTTTGATTTACACAAATTCACACAAATGTGAAATGTGATCCCTGCTTAAAGTTCCACACCCATTTCAGATCACAGAAAGGAATAATCTTTTTTTTTATTGCGAAGGCCAAAGATCTGGCACCCATTTATTTAAATCATACAGAAGTTAAGACCAAAAAGATTTTAAACCACACATTTCGGGGGGGGGAGGAGTTATTATTGTTATTTCATGTATTTGTATTTTATTTTCAGATTGGCAAAAGAATGAAGCCCAGAAAAGGCGAGAGCAGCTTTTGCTGGATGAACTTGTTATTCTCGTTAATAAACGTGATGCCCTGGTCAGAGATTTGGACGCCCAAGAAAAACAGTAAGTATGACGTGTTATTTTTTAAACCCTCTGGAGACATTTTGACTTTTCTGTGACTGGATTTGCTTTGTCTCTATTGTCCGGACAGTAAAAGTTTGAGGAAAGTTCAGTAACAAAGGCAGCATGTTGTCTGGTGATCAAGAATGAAACATGAACTCGGGGGGTTGGTAACGATGATCCATTTTAAAGAAAATCAGACCATCACTAGAGCCCGATCCTCAAACTGAATTGTGCTATCACATCTGACTCTAGAGTGGTGCTCAATATCGAAATCCTTTGGCAAATTAGCCTGCAGAGAGGCTGGGTGGGGTAAAGAAGAACTGCATTACCTTAGATAGAAAATGGACAATAATTGTATCTGGGGTTTGTTTTTCAGGGCCGAAGAAGAAGATGAACATTTGGAAAGAACTCTTGAACAAAACAAAGGCAAGATGGCCAAGAAAGAAGAGAAATGTGTCCTTCAGTGACTGGCCTTCCTGGAGCAGATGCAGTTGCATTTTGTAGTCCAGACCTTTCTTACATTTTTAAAATACTGACCCCAAGACTGAAAAAAACAATATTACAATTCAATAGTTCAAAAAAATTAAAACTTTTGCCCTTTTGTTAGGCCAGCTCTATACTGCATTGTTTTCTGGATTTGTTATTTTTTTTTTTCCACTCAAGCAATATTATTCCAAACTAGCTTTGTATTATGATTTATTTGTGAGCTTAGTCATCATGTTGAAATTCTGTTAAATACATTTGCACAGAAACATTGTTGTGGTGATGATATCAGAAATGTTTAAGAGGAAAAAAATATGTCTGTCTGGATTTCTTTAGCTGGAGGAGGAATGAATTTTGAAATAAATATGTTTTTGTTGTCATAGAATTATAGAGGGGAAAATAGAAAACAAAAATCATTCTGAATGGTTTCATCTAGTCCTGCCATATGTAATACTTAATATGCTATCTAAATTTTATAGTTAGATCAGATTCAATCCAGTTATTAAAATGTGCTATATTTACCAGTGTTTATTTCAGCAGCATTTTACATTTTATTGTATGTATAATATAAATTAAGACTGTCTGATTCGCTCAGAGACTAGTTCTTTAACATATGGTTTGAAAAAGAGCCTTGTGATGTGAGATGAGGCTAGTTGAAGTGCATCAGTTTACAGAAACATTTTGTCATTAAAGGCTACGCCATTTTTTATAATTATTTATTACATCTAGTTTTGTTCCCGTCTCCATTTTGTTGGACCTCTGCATTGGCTCCAGGACGCTGTTCATATTTATTCTGTACCTATTAAAGTCTGTTCTGCCATTGTGTGCAAACCCCCTCCCAATTCATGTTCCCTCCGCTTACATCGCTCTCATTTTTGTGACAACTGTTTATTTATTACAAGACTGAGTCATATATAAATTTTCAATAAAAGCCGAATCTTTCTTACCGTTAACTGCTGCTGTCCTCTCTTCCCAGTGTGAAAAGTTTATTACCTCTGATTGTTTGGAGGAGGGGGGGAGATGGGGAAAGGTTAGTTAATTTTTAAAATGAATTTGTAAAAAATGATCTGCAAATGCAACAGTGTCCTACCTGAAACTGAACAGTCTAGATTCAAAAGATACACCTTCAGACACAAAAAATAGAATTTTGGTGGGAAATTTAAAAGCAATGGAAATGATATTTATTTTTAAACTTTCCCAGGTATAAGCAATGTTTGTCCAAGTAGGTTCCAATTTCTCTTTCGGAGGCTGTTCCTGTTCACATTGAGATTTTGCAAATCGGTCACTGCTACTTTGTCAGAGATTTTCATAACTAGGAACATTGCATCATTTTCTTCACCTAACGATTCCTTTGCAGTGGCTTGCCTTTTACAGCTCAGTGGGCCAGATCAAAGCCCTTTGTTATCTCTCAGGGAGCTGCAGTTTTAAAATATATATATATATATATATATATATATATATATATATATATATATAGCGATAGAACCAAGCCAGACCAAAAGTTCAACTTTTTACGTGGCATGGCGTATTCCTGTATTCGCCTGCTCAGCTCATTCCAGCAGCAAACAAACCCTCTTCTGCAAGGGGACCCCTAACAAAAGGAAGTCTGTTCGACAAGTCGGAAGACCTGAAAATAATAATGCAGCAGGTTTATGCTTCAGAGTGTCAGAGACGTTTTACAAGAAAATATAAATCATGCTTCAGTTGGAAAAGAACAGCCCCATCGCGCACACAAGAATGCAGCAGCTCTAATCAGCGCCTGCCAAGGCCTGGGGAAAAGTTACTGCGAAGTTTCTAGGAAGGGACCCAGTGGCTCCGCTTGCACTTGGTGGGAGCTGACTCTGAAATAGTGCTGCTCGTTAAGAGTCGCCAGAGACCCCATTTGAAAATTGCCCCATCCAATCGCTGCAAAATCCAGCCAAGTGGGGCTAGGACTGAGATTCCCCCACTCAGGAGCTGCTCCGGCGGCTGCCGGCGCTGATGCGTTTTCCTGACCAGTGCAGGGAGAATCCACGATATGTTACAAAATCCACATCGTGAATAATCCGGTTAAAATGATAACAAGTGCTAGTGTAAATACTAGGGCTCTGGGCTTGTGCCTTTGGATCTGCCCAGAATGGGAATCGCTTTCCGAGCTGGTTCATATGCTAAATGAATTAAACCTCTTATCTCCTTCGATTAGGGGCTGAAATTCGGGCCAGGATCTCTCTCCCCCTCGCCCTTTGACTACATTCCCCCCACCACCTCCCCTTTTTGGGGTTTTGTTTTCCTCCTGCTGCCATCCGCCTTTCCAAGCCGCTCTTCATTTGGGCAGAGACGAGTGGGCCCTTTTTGTTTTAATGTAGGTTAATGCGGTTTATTGGGTCCTAAGAGTCAGATTAGAATTTGTTCATTTGCAGCGAACATCTGTTTACCCTCGCAGCCCCTTTGGCTGTGGGGTTGGGAGCAGGAGCCCGTTCTAATGACACCAGCCATGTCCTCGCTGCTGTGATTAAAGAGGGAAAAATAAGTTTTGACAGCTGACGTCCTCTTTGGCCTTTTAAAACTTTCCCATTAATTTGCTGATCGCTTCTCAGTTTGGCTTCCCTGGGCAGGTTCTCTGCAATGCAGGGCTCTGGCTACTTCTAGCCAGCCAGCTCCAGGGATGGATTATTCAGCCCCCCTCCCCCCGGTTTGGGGGTGAGTTGTTTCGGGTGGAGAAGAGGGGGTGCTGGGACTTCCCAGAGGTCTGCATGAAGCCTGGGGTGGGGGGTGAGGGGGGTGACATGCTTGGACCCCGAGGACAGAACCAACCAATGCAGGCTGCTAGAGGCGGTGTTGGCCTCTAAGAGCAATTGCTGGTTTGGGAGTTGGGACATGCTCTCCCCAGAAGGAGGAGGAGGGGAATATTGTCCGTCGAGCCTGTTTTCGGTTAAACTAGAAGCCGGGCTGTGTTCCTTAGTCGCTGGAAGTGAAAGTGCATGTTGGGCTTCTCTCCCGAAGGATTTCTATTTGGGTTTTTTAAGTGCCTCTCTGCAGGGCCTGAGCTGCAAAGCGGCCCACCAGGAAGCCCCTCCTGAAAAGCCAGATGCAGTTCCCACCAGCCAGGCTCGATGCTATGGGCTTGGGGGGTCTTAAAATGGTGACGCTACATTCAATGTATTGTCCTAACCCCTATAGCTTGAGCGGTGCTTTGTATTTCTGCCGGCAGATCCCGCAGGAACCGCTCAGGGAACCTGTCCCAGCCAGCGCCTCGCCCCGCAAAACCCCTCCAGTCTGACCTGTGCAGAGCATCAGAGAGACCCGGCTGCAGCCGTGCGAACCGGGATCCCTCCAGCGCGGTGACCTGCCCCAGGACCGGGGAACGGAAACCCCCCTCCAAAAAAAAATACCCCCTCCCCGTGCCCCAGCCAGCCCCGCACCTTGCCCCGAGAGGGGCTGCGGGGAGGCAGAGCCCTGCTGCACCTTACCTGTCCGCGCAAGCCCTGAGCACGAGCAAAGGGAGTCCGAGCTGGGGGCCCTGGGGTCTGGGGCAGAATCCAGGAGCCTTCCGCCGGCGCGCCGTGCCGAGCGGGGCCCTTTGGGGGCACGGCCAGGCCCTTCCAGCGCGGTCCCTGGAGGTGGCTCCTCGCAGGACAGGGCAACCTGGCTCCCCCCCTCCGCCTCCGCCGCGGCTGCAGCTCCTTCTTCTCCTGCGCCTCAAGGCGCGCGCCCGGCGGCAGCCCCGGGTCCTCAGCGCGGCGCGTTGCGCCAAACTTTTCTCTCGCTCGCGCTCTGCCTTGTGCCCCCTGCCTCCCCTTAGTCCCGGGCTTTTATGGGCTGCGCGTTCCGAAAATTCGCCTGCAATTTGGGATTAGACAAACACTCTGATTACACTCGCGCGCGGAAAGGGGCCAGTGCTACTTGATACCTTCGCCCGTCCCGAGCCTGGATCCCATCCTGTGGCGCTGAGCAGGGGCGCGGAGAGCTGGGGAGGGCCAGGCGGACATTCCTACGGAGCCAAGCACCCAAATGCTTCGCCTCCATCTGCCCCTGTGCATGACGAAACCCTCTGGACGAATAACCAGGAGCTGATTTGGGGGGGGGGAGGGGAGGGATATAGCTAATAATATTGTATTTCTGGCAAGGGGCTTGATTGGAGTCTGGCGAGGCTCCTTCTGCCAGGGCAAGCGCGTTGGAGATCAGCCCTTCCTTGTTCAAAACTGGCCCCAAACTCATTGTCTGCCGCTCTGGGACAAAGGCTCAGGTGCCTGAGCTCAGCTCGCCCCCTGGGCGGACAATGGCAAAGGTAGGGACCCGGGGGAGGGGTGTCCCCAGTCAGCCCTTTACTTTTTTTATGAATGGGCTGCGGCGCCTTTGTTCCGCGGAGAAGTGCCCGTGTCGCTGACTTTTGTGGACTATAGAAAGATCTTGTAAACCTCCTTTTCTTTCGTCCGCCCCCCCCCCCTCCTTTGATTAGATGTCCCCTCATCGCCCGAAAAAATGTAATTTCGTTGGGCCGGCGGTCACTTCCTTTGAACATTAGCTCGCTTTCAGCTCCAACTTCAATTAGAAGGAGTTGATTTGGAGAGATCAACAAAAGACCCGCACCAAAGCCTTATTAAAGGTCCTAAGCAGATCTCCTGGATCCTTTGAGAAGCAGTTAAGGAAACAGTGTGCATCCATGATATTCTGTTACCGTATTTTATTGGGACGCCAAAGGAAAGTGTCTCGTGAAAAACACTTACTTTGATGCCCGGCCGCGTTTAATTTATTTTGCTGGCAACGAGTTGATTTTTTTTTTTTTTTTTGCATTTTATTATTATTACCCCTTTTCAGCTTCCCCTTTGTGTTATTAGACATTCTCCTGGTAAACTACAAAAAAAAAGAGTAATTCTTAGGAGGGGATTAGGGCCCTTCGTTAATATTTATGAGATGGTGCAACTTAAACCTATATATGGATAGATAATTGTGTGGCCTAGAGTTTGGCGAGAAAAGACAAAGTTGATGGTCACCAATGGCCATTTCTGCCACTTCCTTCGTTTTGTGAAAACAATCGGCGCGTTTCAAGTAAAGGCTTTAACCGATTTTCAGCAACTGACAATTTTAATGTTTCAGAAATGGGGGAGGAGCGAAAAACCATCCTAGGCCAGGCCAATTCGCAACCCCCTTTTCTCCGAGCCTAGGTCCTACCCAAACACAAACGGGAACGAAAGGTACGGTTTTAAGCGCCTGGCCAGGGGAAGACCAGCTATTCCGTCGGCGTGAATCTACATTTCTGTGCACATGTAACGAGTGTGTCAGGCAAGAGCGTACGCAAAACGGGAGGTGCAAACTTTAGGAGACTGAGTGGGGGTTGCAGAGAAAAAGCCGAGCTCGGGGAGGACTGGGAAAGCTTCCTCCAAACTAGAAGGAAATCGCGCCCCATCCTCAGTGGCCAGGCACGGAGATCTCGCCCCTTTACACACTTAGTTCGGGGTTTCTCGCTGCAGGTCTGGGTTCAGGGGGCACTTGCACGCGCAAATGCAGCCCGACGCGCACACGCAGCAATTAAACGTGCAAAAGTTCGCCCTGGGCGCAGGGCCAGCCAGGGCGCAAGGGGGGCCGGCCGGCCTCGGGCCTCTGCCCGCGGAGCTCATCGGGCTTCACTTGGGCTTGTGCCCGCACCCGGACGGGCTTTGTCTGGGGCGTGGGCAGGGAGCGGACCCGGAGCGCGGCTCAGCGCACGGGGGCTGGGCGCGGGAGGGCTGCACCAGGCGCCCCAGCGGCAGAGCGGGGCCGCAGCCGCCTGCCCTGGGGGAGCCGGTGCGCGCGGCGGGGCTGGGGTGGAGTGGGGAGCTGGGGGGGGGGGGGGGGGGGCGTGCAGAGGTAACCCGCATCCTGCGCTGCCATTGCCCAGGCGGCTGTCAGTCAGGCGCGGGGCGGCCGCGGATTGGCGCCGGGGCTGGTTACGCACTCGCCTCGCGCTCACATACAAGG